TCAAGTTGTAGTTACTCCACAGAAAACCATGTGAGGCGCCGAGACCTTTTCATACCGAATCGTGGCTCTTCCACATTCTGCTATTTTATCTAGATACTGTTAAAAATGATTCATCAAAAGCCTTTTTTTGTTAGGGGTTTTTTTGTGAGCGGAAAATCATCAAATGACTTCTCCCGCCCAGGGTCGGGCGGGAGGGAGTGTCAGACTCTTACTGACTAAAAACCCCCTGTTCCTTTTACTGCTCTGGGTCGAGGCCTGCAAACTACTGAACAATTGGCTTGGTCTCCATTTACATAAAAAGGATTTTCTATAATTTGCATGCCTAAAAGACGGGTTAAAGACCGCAATTCAATACCCAGTTTCTAAAAGACTGATCAGCTTTTACATTTCTTTAAAAGTATCAATTGAATTCCTAAGATTTTACTTGGTTTGTATTCTAGGTTATTGACTATGTATTTATTATAAACATAACATAATAATATATTCAAATTCAGATGAACTAAAACGGCTACAGCGATTTTCATAAACTTTTGTTTGCTTGGGTTTCTGGATCGATTTCTATCCAGCTAGGATTATTTTCAGCTCTTTCAATTAATGACAATCCTTGCACAGACTATGGCAACGTCGAAATTGAATTGTCTGTCGGCCTGTGCCTCCTTTAGGCGAGTTGCTCGTTCCAAAATGTAGATTCGTAATGAGAAACAAACTCCATCGATGCTCCTTAAAACATACACAATATCAATAAAGATTTTATATTTATATAAAGCTTTGGAGTATTCGTTTCCTTGTATCTTGTTGTCGACACTTTATTTGATGTTAATAATGATGTCTACGCACGATACTGATTATGGTGAAACTATCGACCTCATAAAGTAAATAAGGCCATTATATAGTAAGCGGTATTCATAATAGTACATTAGGAATCTGCCCTGGTTGCTGGAAGACAGATTTTATGGTGTTTTAATGAAAACTAAACTAAGTTAAGATTATAGATATAAGATAAAGAAAAATATTTAATAATGAGATAATAATTTTGCAACTATTAGACGATTTGAAAAATTCTCACTGTTCTAAAGTTAAATAAAACTAAAAGTTATTTTACAATGAGTTATATTTTTTATCCTTAGACTCTTACAAGATTTGGAACTGATACAGATTGAACCTTTTGGGGCCATCAATTTACTTCCTTGTATCTGAGACAATAAACTGTTTTTCACCTTCAAAAGGTGCAGAAGCTTATCGGGGAGAAAAACAGATTTATGGTTTTTTTATCATTTAATAAAACCTCCCCAGTAGCCAACATTATTGGACACCCGGTTCTCTTAGTCTAACCCTCAGGGTGCAACGCCCATTACGGCAGTCTTTTTTTTTATTGATTCTAGGTTCGCGCTTGACCGCTATCTCACCTGATGGAAAGCGACGCACGATGCGGTCGACGATTGGGCGCGCTTACCTAGAAGTAACCTATTCACTCTTGACTTATACCCAGATTGTAACTATCAGGAAACACCGACTCCGGCAAGGAATTCCACTAGAGTCTTAAAGTCCTACATCTTCCTCGACCCTCATTTTCCCTGGGCGTACCTTGAATCCTCATTCTAAGCGCTCGTGGCCCCAAACGCGTTTTCAGATAATATAGAGATATATTATAAGCTCTGGACTTTATATAAGAAATACTGATTTGTTATTAACTTGATTTCTTGTAGAATCGACCGACCTGATGCGTCACAATGCAAATTTGGAGAATCTACGTGTGTGTAATGTCGTACGCAGTTAAATTCACACACACACGTACACAACTAAGAAACTAAATAAAACATCATACGGGAATGTTGAAAACACTGGAAGTTTCTCTTTATGAATCATTACTACGCAGTTTGGCGTATAAAAAGACTATGTTTACTATCGGCAGCAAATGTTTTCCCATCGTAATATCTTGACCAGATGCAGAACAGTTTGACCTTTGCATACATATCTATATAAAAGATTGAGATATTTTTATTTATTGACGTCCAAGGCCGAAGATTTTTGGTACTGAAATCAATGGGGAAGTTGTTCGTATTTATTTATTGATTTGTTTTATATTGATGCTGGTCTCTGTAGCTTTGTTCAAGGTCGTTTTTAGAATGGAATCGGGAAGTTGATTGCCGCATCTCTATTATTGGGCACTGATATTGGGATACGCTATTCTTTAGAGCAATACACGCACGCACGGTACAACTGCTGGGTGTGATATGTATATGAAATTATATGTTTGTAAACGCACCCTCGACGCTGTAGAAAATCCTAATTAGGGGCAATGTTTTTTTTATTATATTAGATTTAACCCTGTTACGGGCGAAAGTAAATGTCCTACTGTTACTGACTAAAAACCACTCATCCTTCTTCTGTTACGGGCCGGAGCCGTGGTACATTATTGGGACTGCATCTACTTCCAAGCTTCTATTGCAAACATGGAAATGGGTAGGGTATTATTGACCACAAAAGTGGAGAGAAATCGCACCAAGCACATACCATGACCACGATCACTCTGACAAGAGTGAAACGATTATTTACCTTACAAACTTCATTGATGATCAGACTAAATAACCATGTCTTGGCTATAATCCTGTAGTTCCCAACTGGTCAAATTCGATCAATACTTTTATTGAAATGTTTCAAAACATATGACGTCATAATGTTTTGATTGTCAAATAACTGCACTTACATATATCATGAAACATAGCAATTATGTGTAGATTACAGGCCTGTGCCTGTACAGTATTCTGCCATGGGATGAAATGGGATTGAAAAGTGGCTTAAGTTTCCAACTTAAACTTATCTTTCTACTAGGAAGATATAAAGTTTAGGCATATAAGGAGTGTCTGATTCTCCTGATAACGAGGTAAAATTGTTAAAAGCGTGTTTTTATTTAAAAAGTCTTTTAATGTACACAACAATTTTTAGTAGGGTATGGAGGTCCTTGTTAGTCCTTGGCTATCCCTAATCCCTTCCCAATCCCTGAATCTTCAAAACCCTAATTTCCAAAAGGCTGACAACGCAATATTTACTCCTCTGGTGTTGCCCATGGGTAGCGAACAGCGCCATAGACACATAAGAAAAATAGAGAAATCAGTGAAAAACAGGTTTATAGTTTGTTTATTTATTAATACATCATTAAAGATGAATGTGAAAAAAATATTTTACTGTATAATTTGGGCATTACCCATCACTGGAACTACCAAAAAATTATTATGAAATTAATGATTCGTGATCTTTATCAAATAAGGTCAATTGAACACAATTGTCAGAACAGACGAAGTTTTTAAGTACTGGTTGTAGATTAGACAAAATTGTGCACATATGAAAACAAAGTGCTTAATCAAATAACAGGTTGTCGTGTCTCTGTTTTATAAAAGTCCATATTAAATTGCCAATGTGTTATTAATAATGTATTTCTACTGCCGCTATAACAACAAATAAAATGTCTAAAATAAAAATAAATTGATATTTATACAACTTACTAACGATTAAGTAGCGCTTACTTAATAATTTAAAATTGTACGTGGTTGGTTTTTTTTAAGTACATCAAGCGTAAAAGTGAATTGAAATACACGACTGAAATGTTGGAGAAAAGTTCAACTATTTAATTATGTAGTTTCAGGTCAAACTGAGCATTTAAGAGTCCCGGTATGACTTGAAACTTATAGTTTTCTCATTTCGAAACAAATTACAAACGTTGCTTCACGCTAGTTTTCTGTGAGTCCGTGGTATCCCTCCAGTCGAGCAAAAGTTTGACCGTTTCCGCACTTGAATCATGAAAATACGTGTTGCATTAATGATATTAACACAATTGTAAATGTTATCATAATCACCACTGACATATGGTGAAGGAAAACATCATGAGAAAGGAAGCCTGATCCAATAATTTCTATTTATAAGTTTGAAATCGCAAATCCGCCTTGAGCAAGCTTAGTGATTAAATTCTCAAACCTTCTCCGCGTGAGAAGAGGCCTTTGTTCAGCAGTGGACACTTATAGGCAGATGATGTATGCTGTATGTGTAATTGTCATCATTATATTTTAAGTACGCTTAAATGTTTTGATAACCTTAAACGGTCAGTGATACGAGAAGTCTGCTCTCTATCAAGTCAGAATCAACTGCCAGTCGGTCTCGTCGGAATCCATCTCGATCAGAAGTAAACAAACTGATATATCCATCTGTCAGTAACGATAATATGAATGTATTTATAAGAACTTTATGTTTATTTAAAATATAAAGGTGGGTCGTTATATTTTGTTACGACTTTATTGGGCCGGCTCGATTGGAGTGGTACTATGGTCTCATGGAAATCTAGCGTGAAACAAGGTTTTTTTGAGAGCACAAAATTATCAAATGTCTTTTCTTACCCTGGATTGGGCGAGACAGTGTTAGAATGGTCAGCAAACCAAAAGATCACCCCGTTCTTTCTCCTGCTCCAGGCCTGATCAGCAGAATATTATTGCACTCACATCACACCACAAGGCTGAACCTCAAGCCTATAAGGCCCCTTCTATAATGGTCTGGCTCTTAAGATCGCTACGCTCAGTTAAAAATGCGTGCATTGTGTTTGCCTGTGAGTGTGGACATCGAAGTAGCATATTATTCTAAATATTCCGTGACAAAGATAATTAAGCTCTAATACAAGTGTTTAAGAACGAAAATAAAACCCTAGTAAAGTGTTTGATATTTCTCCACCAAGTACTTACCGAAGCCATTGACACTGAACGTACTGAAAAAAAACAAAAAATATCGGACCTTATTCGTGGGTGTTACGTGTTCTTAAAGACGGTTTACTTCACAACGTTTTCGAGGGTTTCAAAGTCCAATCGAAATATTAGTACAAAAGAAATACATACGGACAAATGGGTTTGACTTTTGACCGTGGGTGGGTCAGACGCTTTTCCTTATAAACCTACTTACTTATTTGATAAATTTCACTGTTTACGTATAAAATTAACTGTTAACCTACATCCTCTAAGCCGAGCTTGCGGGACAAGCGCTATCAGGAGAAGGCACGGGTTGGTTTCTATACAGTAAGTCTGACAAACCCCTTCACACCCCATTGTGGGTGAAAGAAATCATTTAATGATATGTCCTCTTCAAAGAAATAAAAAAAAACTACATTCGCAAAGTAAATGAACCGAAGTAACGAGTTTTCATTCAAAGCAACGTTGACTAATGCAGTGCCTACTTTAAATTCAATTCAACAGTTAAATAACATTCGTTCAATGATTTGTATCGACAATCGACATCTCTCTATGCATAAATTCTGCATGCATGCACGCATTGTGCACGCGATCTACCAAGTCGTACGCGTGCAAATACGATCACGCAAAGCTACAGTCGGATTCGCAATCGGAAAGTCACGTCAACTCACTCAGGACATGAACAGTCATAATAAATACAAATCACGTAAGCCTGTTCCAAAAAGAATCACGAAAGTATTATAAAAACGTCGTTCAGAGGTAATCGTGCATCGTACATTCACCAAATTTTATGCGCATCTTTATTTAAACGATGATTCGGAACAATCGGATCGATTGGTCGGGCACGCCACCGCGATAAATTACTTTTTGCTCGAGTTTTCGAAGAAAGCGGTGCATGGTTTGCAAGCAGTCACTCGTGTGAGCACGCGGCCGCCGCTCGTCTCGCTCCCCCACTAATACGTTAACAATCGAAACACGAAACGACATCGCGCTCGTAAAACTGGCAGGTGTCCCTAAGGAGGCTCGCGATATCCCCTTGCGGGCCAAGAGTGTCTGCCTAGCAGAGAGACCGCGATCCAAATATGCTCGCAACGTTCGTAGCGCCGATCACGCCCGGTCACAATTCACCAATAGACAGTTTTTCCCTCGACCAGCGTCCACTACCAATACCAAACGTCGACAAAATAATGTTGTTGTCAAACAACAAAATAGGAAAATAGTTGAGAAAGTTCCATTTGCAGTTTCCGTTCAAAATTTATCGATACCTATGAAGTACGCGGACGAACCTAAACCCAGGCATTCAATCTCTAAACCTCCTCAGAACGTGTACAATCGACGGATCGATGTTAACAAGACTAAGTGTTGTAATCCTCCTAAACAGGTCGGCGACAACAAGAGGCTGTGTGACACTGCGGGCTGCGGGAAAGGGACAGAGAACAAATTGTTATTGCAGATCAGCGAAGCCGAACAAGTGACAGACTTTGAAAGGATTCTTAATTCTAATGCAATACTGTGCCAGCGAGTGCGCAGTCACGTGTGGCATGGATGTGCCACTCCGCAGAAGCGCTCAGCGTCTGTGTTGCCGAGACCAAAGTCAGCTTATTCTCTCTACACCGTAAGTCAGGCCTACCACTATTTGTTTCGTCAACACGAAGAATCCTTAGAACCGCTCATTGAACAATACCGTCAGTCGGTCGCTGAGGAACAGAAACCCCCAACCAGCATATTAGAAAAGAACTGGTTCGAAAATCTTCAGGATTTGTCTGAGTACTACGAGGACGACGAGGAATTACAAGAAGAAGTTGAAGCTATCACAGACCGTATAGTTGCGGAAGAAGTTAAAACTGTAGAAGAGCATTATCAAGCAGGTAAAAGGAACAAGAATTTCAATGTTAACTTAGCCGACCTGATAAGTTTGAATATACACGGAGAACGTTTATCTCCAAGTCGAGAAGACCACGGCCCTTCACCGGACATAGAAAAGACAGACGCGGAAAACGAGGAGGAATGGCTCGCACCGAGTATGAGCGCAAACTCCGATGACCGCGATACTCAGCACGATAACAACGTGAACTGTTTGGCACAAAACTTAGATTCTGTGAAAATAGACAGTGATGCAAAAGTTCCGACGATAACATTCAGCAATTGTTGTGACGGTTACGCTAGGAGCGACCTTCCGAACAATAAAGACGTTGATATCCATTTAGCCGTGCCTGCTATTGACAGCATTGACGAGGCTCGCCCTCCGATGATGTGATTAGCTTTTATACTTTTAACAATCACACAAAACAGTAATCAACCGAAATGATTGCTTTAGAAACTGAACAATCCATCCCAAGTGAAGAACGGATGCCTAAACCAGAACCAACATCATCCCATCCACAAAGAACGTTAACACGGTCGAGTGCTGTTAGCCAAAAATCCGTCGAAATAATGGTTCATCCGGAAGGCTCGAACAATCCACTGCACAGGTCCAAATTAGCTCCAACTAGGTCTTCCTCTGAGACGCAATCTTCTGGCAAGAAGATGTTGAATTTGAGAAAAACTAAAAACTCATCAATAGAATCTACAATGAGTTTGCCTAATCAGAAGTCTTTGGAGAAGAAGCACGGCGGCCTGAGACATCAGAAGGCTGTCGTGGTGCAAGCTCATTCCGACATAACTTTAAGCACTCAGCCTTCGATGTCAGACGACAGGAAGGCATTGAGAGAAGCATTGTACCAGGGTATCTTTCACAGGCACAGGAGGACGATCTTTGCGGTAGGTTCGTTCCTCAGGATGCTGAGGAGCAAAACGTCCAACTATGATTCTATAAGGTCGGACTCCGATGAGATATAGCACCCGTAGATCGTCTAAGTGTATTTTTAGTAAAAAAATGGTGCCACAGACTGATTGTGCTTTGTAAGGAGAGAAAATATGTTATTAGTTTTTAAGGAAAGTTTGTTTGTATTAAAATGTTCCTAATTAGTTGTGACTGAGTTTTCGTTGACCCCGCTTGGAGGAGCAGTATACGTATAATGGTTGTTAATGCGTGTTGGAGCGCTGTTGGCCGGCGAACCGACATTGGTTTCATGTCGTAGTACATTTATGCTGTATTTTATTAAATTCTCGTTACTTTCGACGTCTTAATATTGATTTTGAATATCGGTAAACATTTCAGCGTGTCATAATTAGTCGAAAAACTCGGCCATTATGTTGTCAAATTCACTCACCATAATTACTTCAATTAAACGTTAAAGAATTTGCTGAAATGATGTCTATACTTTTTGTGTAAACAGTTTTATTAAGAGCGCAGTCGTTATACCTAAGTCTTGAGACAGAATTATACTTTTATTTCAAATACAAAAAATAGCCTATACCTATAAATTCAATATAGACAGCCGAAATAAAATCGAAATAAAACAGAGTATATGGTAATGAATAGTTGACAAGGTATAAGTTCGCGTGACGCCTCGATCAAGGGCGCTCACCGAACGATCACCTTGACTTTTTTCAGACGCATAAATTTTATGAAAATGATATTTTTTTCGTATACAATACGTACGTCCCGTGAAAAGTTGTCGGCGATAGCTAACAATGGATTTTATGGCACTATAAAACTCTAAACTTCTTAAGGGGCAAAAAGTAATGGTTAAATGCGATAGAAATGACGGGCTTTTGCGTGTAATTTATTAAAGTTTTTTTAATGGGGGAAAATCATCAAATTAATGTCTTTTCGCGCCCTGGGCGAGTGAGAGGGAGTGTCCCTCTCTTTCTGGCTAAATGATACCCCGTTCCTTCTCTTACTTCGGACCAGGGCCGCAGTACATTTTTGTACTTTCACCTGCAATTCTCAGCCGGGGTTGCGGTGTAAGTACAATGAGGCACCGCGACCTCGGCCCAGACCAGGAGAAGGAACACGGGGTTTTGAGTCAGTAAAAGTCTGACACTCCATCCCGCCCGGCCCTGGGCGGGAGAAGTCATTTGATGATTTTCACCTCACAAAAAAAGCCTGCAATTCTGGCGGCAAATTTATTAAAGCTAAATATTTCTTGACAAAGTTTTGTATTTGAAATAAAAGTTAAGGAAGTTATTTATAATAAAATCAATGACTAGGCATTTAAAAAATAAGAAGTTGAATGCACAAGAATAAAGTGTTCACGACGAAAAATTTATGTGAGAATGTAATGTATGATGATTCATTTTGTGTACCGACAAATGTAAAACTAGTCACCTTGTTATTTTTAGAGGCGTCTTATTATTGATATCGTGTATCGAACATCGACATGATACTACGATCAAAAACACATTAACTTTACGATACAGAGTCAATATAATAAAAGTACAGATACAAGATTTATTCCAATAAATATTTTTATTACTCGTAATATGATTTTCGTTTGTCGAAATTGAAACCAATGTTGTTTGACGGTCATAATGTTATAATATAAGTAATGTGTACCAATTTTAAAGAAATATTTCATTGATGTTTTTATATAAAAAAAATGTTTTTCTTAAAGTTATTATGATGTTGAATTGTATGGTATTACCTGTCTCATCACGACAGTTACCTCTCCCTCGAACAATGGTAGCAGAAAGTCCAATATTCTTTGAGAAAAAACGATTAAATTCTTTTATTTTGCCTTAGACAGATTGTATTGATGGTGAGATACTGAAAGATCGCAGTCAAAATATCGTCTTTAATTATCGTGATAAGAACTTGAAGTTGATACTACCATACAGTTCTACGACTAAAATTATCCATTTGCGTATATTTTTTGTTGTTTATCATTGGTTCAATAGATAGAACGATGTAAATGAGTTAAACGATCCGCTAATGGAAGTTTAATTGTCGGTGGTCTACGTTTGATTGTCAGTCGTCACTGCGTGACATGGTCTGAACAGCAATTTGATCCGATGTAGTTGATAAGCAAAGTGTTAATGTTTCCAACTTCCTATTCATCACAGACTATGAAAAAACATTTTTTATTTGTAAAAAAATCATTTTTTGTTATTCAATAACATAATTATTTTTGAATAATTATTCAATTTAGTTTATTATTAAATTATTTATGAATAAACAAGTGAATTTAATTTTATATTTCTGTTTTATTCAATATAATTCCAATTAAAATATTTCTTTAAAATAATGTAATGCTTCAATCGAATAGCGAGCTTAGTAGATGAAAATTCCATAAATAAATACATTATTTAGAATCGTATATTTATTTTGCAATGGTTGTTAGTGATATTATAATGTATTATGTAGAAAATTAGTGGCGAAACAATGGATTGTTGAGACACATTTTTGGAACATTTTATGCACTTTTTTATATATTTGTACATCCGAAATTTTGTACAACGTGTTGTTGTGAAGTAGGGGAATTATTAAATATATAAGTTTATCGATGACCTCAGGTTCCTTCCTTTCGATTCAATGCATTTATTTCATTTATAAATCTCTTCTCGAAATAAAAGCAGGTGCAGATATATTTATTTATAGAAACGCACTTATTTATATCGAAATCACCTTCGAAGATGAATGTTGTTTTTGTCAAAACCGTTTAGGATATTTTTGGACGATATTTGCAGACTTCGTAAATAAATATCACCGTAAGTATGTATTAACTTTCATTTAAAAATAACAACCGTTGAAATGGACAATTACTTTCTTATTCATTTATAAAGGAGATTGAGCAAACTACTATAGTACTCGGTTGCGCTCTTTATTGGCAAAATATAGCAGTAAAAATTGGTCACAGGTGAGGGTTACTGTCGTACATTCAAGCAAAGTTAAAAAGAAATTGATATTTTGCAGGCTTTTTCCAAAAAAAAGTTACTAACTCAGGATATTATTTGAGGATACATAAACGTTAAAACAATATCGTTTTTTAAAATGTATGTGTTTACATTGATTATGTATATTGATTGTAATTTAGGTTGTTCTTTATTAAATTGATCGATTCAAATAACGTAGCTCCAATTGACACCCGAATAAAAATATAAATAGTATATATATATACTAAAATATTGAAAATAAAATCCCTACACATGTATTAAACTTTCCTTTGTGTTAATTTGAGAAACATTAAAAACAATAGATTCGCCAACGCATGTGGCGTTCGCTAGGCATTTGTAACATTAATTATATACCTATATATTGTAGATTTGCAGTGACCATACGTTTCAAAAAGCGAAACCATAAATACATGGTATTCATATCATGTCCATTCTTGAATGTTTTTTTCCTATTCAAGCATTTAGTCCGAGTAATATGTATCAATAGACCCAAGTCCCTACATAACTTATTTATCCCAAAGTAATTGTGTATCTATTGTAACTTGAGCGGCAAGAAACTCTACTTTTGCTGAACTTCGATCAAGATACTGACTTATAAACACAAGTTTAGATAAACAACTGATTTGAAACTTTAGTTATTTCGATTCCAATCTTTGTAGATACAAATCTAGATGTAATATGATTGTGGAATGTTTTTAAGTGGCATTACCTATCTATAATATAACAAGGAATGTTGATAGGTTTTGAGTCAAAATCGTTGGGTAAGCTTTTAGAATATGCGCATTTTTGTTTAAAATCATGTTTACGTAATCGTGTTGTTCTATGGATTTATTTTTAAACGCTTTTAGTTTTAGTACACTTAAAGAATTTTGCGTAAAATAAATGTAGAATTACAATATATCCGGAGTAGAGGTAGCATCTTTTAATAAAAAAATTTGGACTGCATTGTTTCTTGGACAAGACGAAAAGCTATCAAAAGGAAATTTTACAAAACATAGATATATGTATGAGAATGTTACCTACGGAAAAGCGGTATTTCATAAGTAGCTTAAATCCCCTGGAGAATGCTTACAGTTTCTTCATTCTAAGGGGTCTTGCCTTACATAACCCCTTTTTTGTAACCCATCCATTGTGCTCCATTTTGATCCGATATTTACCGCCAAAAACCGGTATTGTTGGGAACGATAGATCCGGATTTGACTCAAGGCTTTCGCAAAGGAGGTATTATGCGAATTTCTTCAATATTGTACAAGGTATTTGTTAAGGCTTATTGAGATGTAAGCTTGTTGCGTTGTTTGTATTTGTAATATTCAAGTATTTTGAGTAAACAATATGTTTATATTTTATTGTAAATTTATTTGTTTTTATGAATAATTTATTTGGAATTAGTTTGAATAAATATTATCTATGTTCGAATTCTATTAATTTAAATTTTGAAAGTTTATATTATGTAAAATGAAAGTAAATTTTATGTTTCGTAAAAAACCTAGCCATCGATAAACTTATATATACAAAACCATGAAAAAATGAGCTTTGTAATAAATAAATAGCTTTTTATACTAGACCGATAGTTTAATTTTAATATTGTATCGTTTTTAATATTATGTTTGCGCTGTTGTAAATACGCGGTATACATACTGTATTTATATATCGGACTGTGATAGGAGGAGAACGCTAGAATATATATTATTATATTATTGGAAATTTATACTTATATATATATTTCTAATAATATAATAATTATTAATAAGTGTGGATAGTAGAAACTGTTATTTTGTAGACCTGTATGTAATACCACTTTTTATGATTTATTTTAGATTATCATTTTTATTTTGATCCCTTCGATGTCTAATTTATATATTATTAATTAATGTTTGTCCTAGTTTAAATGTTGACGTCACATAATTATGAATGTAATGTTAAAATAATTATTATTTACAATATCAATGTTGTTAACAATAGTTGTTAATAATACCTAAATAATAATTTAATATCTAGGTTTTGCATACACGTGCTTCGTTAATCGGATTAAGTATTCGACACGTGAATTTTAGTGAATT